GGAGTGTCCTCCATTGGGAGGCACAAAATATGGTATCCCTAATTAAGGGATCCCCCTATCACATGGCTGGGCAGGATATATAATGAAGAGGAAGTTGGGCCCAAGTGGCAGAGGAGATGGGTGTGTAGTCTTTTCCCCTGCCTGATAGAGGCAGGGAGAAAATCTGTCAATTGCTAGCTACAGTTCCAGAGGAAGAGTTACTTTATTTTATGCTATTTATATCTTGTTTTCAACCACTAAATCATACCCTGAGGCAAGGACCTCAGAAGGACTTGTGTGTGATGTTTGCTTCCCTTTCCAGAGTAAAATAACCCATTATTTTACACACCTGTATGCCAGGTCACAGCACAGGAGACAATTAAAAAAAATCCCACAGTGCTCAAAGTGGCATAAACAGGTGCTCCTGAAGTATCTGATTGCAAACCAGGAGCAGATACACTCATATTTTCTATAAACTGTAAGGCTTACTCACTGAGAACAAGCTTTTTTGTAGCTGTTCTGTTTAAAGGTAATTCATTGCTACAAAGTCTTCATCCCAGTAATAGCATAAACAGGTTTCATAATCTTATTCAAAAGAATACACTGATATACTAAAAGATGGCTGTATTTCATTTAGGGTCAGTATGATGGGGTCTGCCTACCCTGCACTAGCCCAGACAGGATTAAGCCTATATTATTGACAGCAGAAGTCCCACCTCCCTGGCGGGACTCGGCATGCTCCAAATGCTCTAGCAATATAAAGGAAGGAAGCTTAACTCATTCTGGGTTATAGGCCACAGGGGAAGGACTTGTCTGGGAAGCTCTTGTGGAGGGTCAGCCACAGCCCTGGACTACTCCAGGAATCAGCCTTCCTGGGCCCGCTTGAACCCCTGCGACTGAAGGAGCTACAGGAAGTGACTGGCATAACTGACCATGGAGAATCCAAAGCCTCATGGGAGATCCAATGCAGATACTGGTAGGAAATGACCAAGGGAGGGTGATGGAGCGGTACCTCCCACCTGGGAAACCTCGGTGTGTTTTGGTAGGACCCCCTGCTGAGTCAGTTGAAAATTGCTCTGCCACTGTTAGGGCCCTGGGTTGGGGCCTGGTGGAGTTGGATGGGCCTGGGCCCCCCCCACTGGGCTGCCACACCCCTTGGTGGGTGCCCCACCCCCTATTGAACTTTGGCTGCTAGGCCATGCTGCCCTGCATCTTAAGGGCTGTTCTATTGACTCTGGGCGCTAGACCATGCTGCCCTATATCTCAAGGGTGGCTCCACTGAACTCTGGCAGCTAGGCCACGTGGCCCTGCACCCAAGGGCTGTTCTATTGACTCTGGTCGCTGGGCTGTGCTGCCCTGACCCTAGGGGTGTAGATCATCAGGGTCAGAAAGATGGAGAAGAGTCAGCTAAACTGAACCTCCATTCCCATTTTTAAAATGTGAATAAATATGGCCTTGAAAAACTGGATCTATCCCTTACTTGTTACAAGGCTTCCGGTCCTGACAGTCCAATTTCTGACTACAAATTTTCACTACTTTTGGACTGACTTTTTTTACTACTGAATTTGATGTGTACTATTTACAATTAAGTGCCATTCATAAACATTCAGACCTAATGTAACTCACACCAGTGATAATTTGGTCTGCTGAACATACTGTAAGAATACTGGACTAAATTCTGCTCTTGGTGTACATTTATTGTAGCTTGAAAGTAACTCCCCTTAAAGTTACTCTGAATTGTCATTGCATACATGACAACAGAATGTGGCTTACCAACTAATGCCATTCAAAAAGTTTTAACAATATTTGCCCACTTTTTATGTGATCAGAGCAATTTTTCAGGTTGTGATCAGTGAGCCAGAGTGTGGAAGTGTATGGAAACTACCAGCCTTCACTTCATTAGTATGAGCAGTCATAATCTAAATTTTTACTAGTATTCAGTCCTTTGATCCAAGCACCAATTTTTCCATTTATACTATTTTCAGAACTCAACTTTTTTTTCTTTTTTCCAGTGAAATGGCAGTTTTTCCCTCTGTTGAAGCTGCTTTTCAATGTTAACAACAACAAAACATCTAAGGCAAAACTACCAAGTGTTTCTTGCCAGAGGTAACTATTTACCACAGCGCCCCAAACAGGTCAGCATTACCAGAGAGTAAAATAGGCCTAAATATATTGATATCATGAAACATCCTAATTGTCAAGTTAGGAAGCCCCACAGATCTGGCCACAGTCATCCATGCATTTATGACCTTAAGGCATGGTTACTGCAAGTCATGTCTAAGAGTGAAGCTACACAACTTGGGGGGAAAAAATGGTACAAAATACAACTGATTTGCTTAGCAACAACGCATATCAATCCATGGCTCTTTAGGCTAGCTCCCGATGACTAAATACACAGCCACTTTCAACGGCTGTGCTGTTGTTCAAAGCCTTCCAGAGGCTTGGACTTTGCTAACTGAAAGATCTCCTCCTCTTCCTCCATGACCATAATTTCCTATAACAGACGCCACTGGAATAATGCAACTCTTGACTAGCATGGGGGAGTTTGTCAATGCAAGAGACAGAACTTTTGCAAGAGCTGAAAATGATGATAGATATTTATCATTCTCGTTTTATCTGTTAATTATAGCTTTCCATCAATAAATTTACTCATGCTCTCTCTCACACACACTCACACTCTCACACACACACACACACACACACACACACCGAGCTATTTTCTCTGTACGCTGAAAAGAGAGGGATTGTTATTTCCACTTGTAAGTGTTTTGGAGACATCCAGATAATATGGTGATGGAACCTATAACAAAGCCTAGTTAAATAGAAGTAAAGCATTTAATATCAATCATGGAATTGAACAGCAATATTGATCATGGATGATCCATGATCAACAGTTGCATCCATTTATAATAATTCACTTAAATATAGTTTTGGCTTTTCCAATCATTGAGGTTGATACCCATGTAAAAATGTGACAGGTATAAACACTATGGCCAACATTTTCAAATCTGAATGCTTACAGCACCCATACCTTCCACTGATGGTAATGGAAACTCAGCACCTCTGAAAGTCAGGCTGCTTCTCATTAAGGAACCAAATCCCTATTTAGGCTCTGGTTTGACAAGGTTGGTGTTGCAGCCCAATTCTGAAGTCAACAGGCGTTAAACTACTGTACGAGCAGGGAGAATTGAGTGTGAAATCTCTTATCCTGTAGAATAGTTTCCCAAGGCAAGTGATGAATGTCATACTAGAAAATAAACTGTAGGGAGAAAACTACATTAATAAAACCCGTTGATTGACCATTTATATCCACAAGAGTCAGGAAATTCACAACTATGGATCCCAGCACAATTGTGGGATTTACCCATGTATATTAAGCAACAAATGTAAGATGACTATTTATTACTGTATAGCTTATATAGTAACATTGGTGTGCATGGCACTGTGCAATACACTAGCTGTGCCAAGGCAAAAGAACTGGTCCCTGCTCAGAGAGTTTACAGTATAAAGAGACAGCCCATATAGTGTAATATAAAATGTTGACAGCCCTAGTATAGCTGTAGGCATTAAACATGCTTAATTGCACCCACCCACCCAAACAGACAGACATCAGTGCTACAGAAGCAGCATTAATGTAGGCCTGTATTCTGGCTGCTTTCAGCTGCATGCAGAAGCTTGTATATAGTTTATATCTTAAAGAGCAAAATTCACCTGCACCCTGCTCTGACCCACCTACCACAAATTAGTCCTAGGAATTTTATTTTTATAGGACTAATTTGTGGTAGGTGGGTCAGAGCAGGGTGCAGGTGAATTTTGCCCCTTAAGGTCTAAACTGCCACCTCTAGTATGGGTGGCTTGCGTTTAGGATCTCTGCAGGCAGTCACTATTGGGGGGGGGGGGGGAACACCATTCCTGTCTTGGGGTTTCCTTTCCAGGCCCTGGCTTTTCAGGGTTTTATGGTACATATGTACAGCACAAACCAAAATTAAGCCAAAAATGGCTTGGTTTAGGGCTAAGTTTGATTGTTGCTGGATTTTCTTTGATTTTTGTACCTTTAAATTCTCAACCATAATGCTTCATTAATTTAGGTTTGGGAGCGGGGGGGGGGGGGCGGTGAGGGTATTTCCCATTGTCCTAGTTAAGCACAAATTTATTCAATGTTAGATGGCTTTACACTTCTGTATTGCCCTACTTCTCGTTTCATGGTCTTCTGCAAAATTAAATCCAGTTCTACCAGATACATTCTAATGAGTCCAGGGTACATCTATCCACGTGTTGTGAGGCAGTGTTACAGGTTGGAATGTATTTTGTACATTTGCTCCAAAAAAGAGAGAAAACAGAAGCTGAAAATGAAATCCTTAAGCAATGAAATAGCACCAAGAAAATTCCCCAAACCCCCAATTACTACAAGACCTTGCTCACTCACACCTGCTGTGCTGCCAACAGACCACACACTGCTAAAACCAAGTTTGCACTATTTAGACTTGAACAAAAATTCTGTGAGTCTATAGAGCTAGCAGAAAAGTCAGTGGCACAAAGACAACCACAAACAATAGGAACACTTAGTGAAATCACTACATGGAAACATAGGCACTGATGGAATTTTCAGTTTTATTGAGGTCAATATGAGTTCATACCTCTCCGTAAAAACTGTATCTGAAGATGATAGTCTCTCCTGACCTGTCACTATTATTGTAAAGTTCTAAAATGGTGCCCATCCTGTGCACTAGGTGCCTAAACCATCAATTAAAAAGCAAACAAACAACTTTGCATCAATATATTCACCTCAACCCACCCCTGCCTCGACAGCCTTAGAGAAGAGAGGGAAAAAAAGATGGACTTTTCAACGTTCCCAGAAGGCTAACCGATCTGGGCTCTGCTGCACCAAGAGTGGATTGAGATCTTCAGCTCCTCTGGTTATGTATTAGCTAAAGCGAGCTGGGAGAGTGGGACAGAAATGCTGGCAATCTAGGGAGGGAGGAAGAGTTCTTTTCTTTCTCCCAGGACAGTGTTACTGGGTGACGAGGAACAAAAGGGAGGTCTAGTGGATTGCTGATCTAGGGGACAGGAGAGGAATCATTGTGTTGGGGAAGAACTCAGTGAGTTGGGAGACAAGGCAAGAGTGGGGTTTCACTGGTCCTTGCCCGAGTTGAAGGTCAGAGAAGGACCTTGTCTGTAACAGCAGCCCCCTCCTCGCCAGTAAAACAAGTTGTGGCATACAACACTCCGCTCCCTGATGAGGGGGTCCTCTGATCCATGTCACCCCTACTGACTAGACAATCTTGATTTTATTTTTTACAGTGTAACCCGCTGTGCTCTGCAAGCACCATCAGAGCTCCTTCAAAAGACAAATCAGGTAGGCAAAACTCTGAACTGCACATGTCAATAGGTTATTTTTATAGTAGTTTTTATTTTGACTTGGATTTCAGACTAGCTCCTGAGGACTGGAAGTCCTTCAGACTCTGTATGCTGCCCTCAAGGCAAAATGTTATTAGGACAAATTTAAACTCCTCTTAGGAGATGAAATCAAATCTGACACAGAGAAACAAAATCATTTACCTTTTCCCTTATGGGAGAAGTGGAACACTATTAAAATAAATTCATTTCCAGTAAAGAAAACTGCTCAGTTTTCTGTTTACATTTTTAAAGCAACATTTTAAGATTACTACTCTTAAAAATATGGAGGAATGGGAGGGGGAGAATAAACCCTCAACTTTCAATTAGTTGTACCTCCTGGCCTTCAAAGGATACTTTTTGGATTTTTAGTTTGTTTTATACATTATTCATGGTCTATTTCCAGGAACAGCCAAGATTTTTGGTTAAGTATTTATTGAATTGGTGTGATTTATCTTGTCACACTAAGGGCAAGTCTACAGTACAAAATTAAGTTAACCTAAGTTAAATCAATGTACAACCACCGCGGTAATTAAGTCACTTTTGCATGTCCACACTATTCTTCTTGTGTTGGCAGTGCATGTAGGGTGACCAGATGTCCCTATTTTATAGGGACAGTCCTGATTTTTGGAGGTCTATTACCCCACCCCTGTGCCGATTTTTCACACTTGCTGTCTAGTCACCCTAAGTGTGCGTCCTCACCAGGCGTGCTTGCACTGATTTAACTGTCAGTGTGGGGCATTGTGGGCAGTGTCTGAAAGGCAACAACAGTCCATGTAAGCAACCGTGTCTACGTTGATACTGCATCGACTTAACTACATCAACCCAAGTGCTATGCCTCTCGTGTAGGTGGAGTTAAGTCAGTATAGCACAGGGGTTCCCAAACTTGGTTCATGGCTTGTTCAGGGTAAGCCCCTGGCGTGCCATGAGATGCTTTGTTTACTT